CTTATCTAGATGCGATTTAATTTTGGACCACATGTAATCGTGTTCAGATGCGGTCTTGTTTAAAAACGTGTCTCCATTGAAACACTTCTTGTACCCACACACATTAGACCTTTGTCTTTTGATACAAAAAAGTATTTACGTCTGTTGCAAAAAATAAAAGAAAAGGCTTTTTAGAGCGTCCTTCAAAGTGGTACTTAGGCACATTCAGGAAACGTTGTTGATAAAAGAATGTTTTTTCGATCAGTTTTTTAATCAGATTTACCTCATAAATGACTTAAATCAGAATTAATACAACGGTAACATGATGATCGCAAAATATTGTCCAGTTCGAACTTAGATATAGACGGACACAAAAGTACCAAAAAAAAATAACCTACAGAAATTATTTTAAAAAATTAACTATGAGAGTGGATCTTTTAATCTGTATTTTTCTTCTTTTATCCTAGGAAAATTGTTTGATTAATAAAGGGAAAAGAGTCCTCTATTATAAGGAGGACTTCTAATTTGCCGAGAGGTTTATATCATCCATTCTATTTAAAATAACTTCTGACTTTCACTGACATAATGTTTTTGGATCAAAACTGAAATCAGAAGATCGCCTTATATCTATAAATGCTTTCTTTAAGGAGGTATATCGGTATAAACATCATCAATTTGACACCCAAGCAACTATCAGGATTTGCAACAAAAGTCTAGAAAAACATCTCGAAAAAGTGAATACGAGAAGAAGATGTGGTATTGGTCGAGTACTTACATTTATCATATAATTTGACTTTCGTACTTGATAATGTAAAACATATAAACATGTTTTTTGCGTATATTTATTCAGAAAAACAATCTTTTGGATATACAGAAGTGACCTGAGACAGACGCAATTATACCTAAGCTCAAATGGTAGAGGGAGTTTAGGCTGTAGACGAAAATCCAAACCCAACTTCCCAACGGTTTAAATTTAGTAAATTTCTAGTTAGTATCGAAGGAACTAATAGATATTGATATTGAAGTATCGAAATTATCTAATGTTCTGTATCGTTTTTTTTCATTTATTCTAATAGGGTATATGACGATTATAACGGGCACAAGAAGGAAATACAACTCAAACATACTTCTATTAGCAGTGTTACAACAATTTTGATATAAATATGTGCAACTGTGTGTATGTATGCCTATGGCATGCGAATGATATTTATACATGTCAGAGCTTCGCAAAGGATGGGAATTTCCCATCTCATCCCATGGGACAAGACAGAACGTAAATATTTTGATAAATGTCCCATGGGATGGGATAATTTTCCGCAATTTCTGTCTGATCTCATCTCATGAGACATTTATCAAAATATTTACGTCTCATTTTATCCTATTCGTCCCATGAGACAAACAGGCACTTATATAAACATTTTTTATAAGGAAAGATGTAACTATTTTTGTCGTTTAGATTGCGTTCTTGTATATCGCAATAGAGTTAGTGAAAATAAAATTTTGTTCTATTCTGTAAATAGTTATGCATTATAGCAGTATGTGTGGCATAGGTATGAGAGAAGAGTATGCCATTATCCGCAAAAATAAGAGCAATCGGAGAATACACATAGAAGACAAAATGATCTAATTTTAAATTTTATCGTCACATATTATAACCAACAGCTTATATCGAAATTTTATTATTATAGTATACGTTAAAGAACGATCAAATATCACAGGAAAATAGAGCATTGTTTTTGCTATGGTTACATATAAAGAGAAAGTTTCCTCAAGCTTTCTATACGAAAATAAAGTACTTCCATCACTACTTTCAGATTTCTTTCAGCGGTGTAATATTTTGTATAATTATTTAAACCGATAAATGCACCATTGAATTTCATTTTTTCAAAAACTATTTGACGAATATGACGTTCCATGAGACCATTTTTCTATCTCATCTCATTCCACGGGAAGTTCCGATGCATATGTTTCTCTCAGTACAAAATATAGAAACGAGAGAATAAAAAACTGTAATGTCGAAATAACGACTAATTCAACATTACAGAACAAAAAGTAAATAAGTATGTGTGTACGTGATATGAAAGAGAGAGAAAAGAAATGTGTTCCATTAGGATACACTTCGAAAGGAAGAAAAAGAAAGTATAAGAAGAGAACCAATCCGTACATCATCGTTTTAGAAAGAAAAAATTGTACAATTAAATCTGTATCTTTTTTCAGATGCGACTGAAGATAAGAAAAGAAAAGGAAATCAACAAAAAATAATGAATTTATATAAGACACAACAGAAATAATTGATGAGATATAAGTGATTGTCCAAAAGTCTCTTTGCGAAGGAAAAACAATCTGAATATCTCTAACATTTTTCATCAAATAGACTGTTTTTTACCCCTGATAACAGAGTGTTGATAGGTCATATTCATAAGAAAAGCATTGACAAATACTGCTTCGAAGTATCATTGTTGACTTCAATGAAGAACTGTAATCTTTCAGGAATTACAGAAAAATGATATTGCAGTTTTCATAACAAATTCTTACTGTTTATAGCGGAAAATTTCAGAATACAATGAGTAACAAGACGTATATCTACAGTATAAAGTTCACACCAAACGATACTTTTGCGAAAAATTAATAGAAAAAAATATGTATGGCTTACTTTTGGCTAAATAAACCATTATATTACTTGTTCATAAGTAGTGTTTGTCAATGTCTTTCTTATGAATATGACCTATCAACATTCTCTTGTCAGGCGTATAAAAAATGAACTCATTTAGTCAAAGTATGATAGAGATTTTGAATTTCTTCGGTAAAGTGACTTTTGAACTACCTTGTATGTTTTTTTGGAAACTTTCATGTGTTTTAATAAGTATAGAATAAAGGTCTAGGTAAGAGTGTGTGTGTGACCTTTAAAAATGGACTGTAAAATTAAAGATTCCTATGACTTGAATTCAATTGAGTCGGGAAAAGAACCTTAATCAAGACTTTGAGTTGAATTGAATTAGAAAATTTGTTTCCAGACGTGCGAATTCAATTCAATTCAGCTCAAAGAACCTTTCGATATTATTGTGGTAAGATCAATTTACACATAAAACTATTTACAGATCAAGTTATAACTATAGTTTATTTGGTAATTTCTCTCGAGAGCTTTCATGTCAAGATAGCTAAATCCCAGTCGCATTATTATAATATATTTGTTGCACTTGCACCAACATATTGTTATTTTCTTTTCTTCTTTTTATGAGTGCATATAATTTATGCAACCATGCTCTCAACATACCAATGTACTTTTCTTTTCTTTCAGCTCATAGGTACAATGTTCATTTCTCTTTATCTAATAGGGCAATATCATGTATAGCATTTGTTTCGGTGAATTAGCATAGGCTTCCATTTAAATTCTAAGTAATTTTAAATAAAAGCTAAGTAAAAAATTCAATTTTTACTAAGTAATTTATTGAAAATAATGCTAACAATGGAACCTTTTGTGTTGATCAAAAGCTTTCTTAACCATGTCTCGGCCAAATTATCAGTCTCACTGAGAAACTAACAAATTTAAAATATTACATCGCCATAGCGAGCGTAGACTGAGATACTCAATTTTTAAAATGTACACAGTTTTGGTATGTGAACATAATATTATGGGAACTATTCATATCCAATGTTTTACATAATCGTCAAGTTTTCCAGGGAGTATATTTTTGAAATCTTGTTGAAATTTATCGATCACATTGTGATCACACTAGATTTACCTTGTTGTAGTGAATTTACTAGTACGAATGTGAGAAAAAAGTCGCCAATTTCCTATTAAATCTCGTAGGTTATTAGTGCTTTTGATTTTATTTCATAGGAAAATAATAGAATACTGCAAATGGAGATGAAGATCGTCGATCAAATGATAGCTGCAAAGTTTTCTTTGCACCGAGCACATGTTAAGAGCATTCGCTCGTTACAGTTAATAGTGGAACAATAAAGGTCATAAAATTTAAAACAAATATCCTTGGGTTGGTCAATTTTGCCAATTGTTTTGTTGATTATTTTAGCTTGTAGAAATCCAGACTTAATAAGATTTTGAAATTGCGGAGCAGATAGTTGATTGTGAATAACATAATGCATATTGATAAAATATTGCCGATCTGTAAAGATCATTTCTGTTCTATTAATATGAACATAATGTTCTATTTTCTTATGAAAATATCTCCGTGAACGAAATAAAGACAAATCTTGTGGTTGAATATGACCAGTTGATACTTCAGGAAAAATTAATAGTTGACTGTTTTAATTGGAAAACACTACTCTAAATTTTGTTAGATCAGCTTGAGTTTTCCAACAATCAAGAAAAAGAAGGAATTTTCTATCAATCCAACGCTGTAGAACTTCATTTAAGAAAATGCAATGTTTTTCATCGCTGCTTTTTCCAGATTTTGAAGCTTGTACTACGACATTTGGTGGCACGTTTTAATTCTTTTGCACTCTCACACCAAACTTATTCTCTTTTTCTTGTCGAATGAGTAAGAATTTGTCTAATAATTGACCAGCAGCTGATGTTATACGCTGCACTGTGTAAGAGTGCGTAACATTAGTTTTCTTTTTAACAGCCACCTTTGTTGTTCGTTCATCCATGAAGGACACAGTTCTTGGAAGAATATATTCTTGTTGAAATAAGCAATGATCACTGTTCAATATTTGATCAGCAGAGTAGTTGGAGATAATTTCTTTTTTATTTTTGACCCAATTTTGAGCATCTAAAAAACACAGATATATTGTATATTAAGACAATTATATTAGAACTTCGAATAAGTATAAATACCTTCCAAGCAGCAAACTTTTCTGGTTGAGGAGGCTCGAGTAACAAGTTTGTTGTATCTTCGTGATGAAATTCGATTATCTTTCTTGAACTTCGTAAGAAAAGATTCACTAGCTTTAGAATTATTCCATTTCAATTTTCGTGCTTTTTGAATTGCAAACAGTTCTCAATCAGTATCATGAACAGGTTCTTTTTCAATAGCTCGTTTGATATAAAATTCATCTCACATAAATTGCTTGATTTTTTCGAGCTTTTCAAATTTTGTGCCGTTCTTTTTAACATATCCTCGAAATCTTGGAATATAATAGGGATGTTTGACTTTTTGAAATCTATGTTTAATACTGGTAAAGTTATAATTTGGATGTTGATCAACCCATTCAATTATCTCTTCCATTTTCTCTAATGTAAGATGATTGTAAATATTCAGTTGCTGGTTCTCATCAAAATCATCAATATCATCGATAGTTTCTGTTTCATCAGTATTGTCTTCTTGATCAGTTGTTTCATCATATTCATCATCGAAGTCGAGACTTTGATATACATCGAGTTCACTAAAGTGACTATCTTTAAATGACTTTAGAACTTCAAATAATTTCTCTGCTGCAGCAATTTCATCAGCACTTGTTCTTGACTCTTCATCGGAAAACTCTCTTTTCGTCAAATAAAATAAATGCTTTGCGATGTTAACTAAATTCATTTATTTTTTTTTCGATCAAATAGACCTCTCTTAAATGCTAGTGGTGATACAGAATAAAAGAGAACGTTACTTTAAATGCACACTTGATGGTGAGTTCGTATCACCAATCATAAAGAAACAACTTACGCAGACTGTTTATATATTATCCATCAGTTTTCTCTACTTTTGCATCGCTCTCACCCTATATCGTCATCACACTTGTCATATCTCCTAAAGGTCTTGTCAATAGTAATCATTTGGATCCATCTTCATCCCCTTCTTCATAATGACGAGGTATATGAGCAGTCCTATAACCCATAAAGTCATGCATTAATGCACTTAATCTTTAGATATCTCATACGCATTTCATTTTTGAAACATAATACAGATATTTCTCTCTCACTTTGGCACTAGTAAATTCACTACAACAAGGTAAATTTAGTGTGATCACAATGTGATCGATAGATTTCAACAAGATTTCAAAAATATACTCCCTGGAAAACTTGACGATTATGTAAAACATTGGATGTGAATGGTTCCCATAATATTGTGTTCACATACCAAAACTGTGTACATTTTAAAAATCGAATATCTCAGTCCACGCTCGCTATGGGATGTAATATTTTAAATTTGTTAGTTTCTCAGTGAGACTGATAATTTGGTCGAGACATGCTCTGAAAGAAAAAAAGGAGATTTGCAGAACCCCTCGAAAAGGTTCTGTAGATTTCTAAAAGCATCCAAATGTGTCCAAAGTCTCAAAAAAAAGGATAAAAAATTCGACAGAATCTTTTGAGGGTTCTGTCTTTTACCCAGTAGCAGAACCATTTCTTACAGAACCTTTTTTTAGGTTCTGTACACCAAAAAAAGGTTTCGTGAGAAAATACGAAACCTTC